GGAAAACAGTTCAAACTAACACATTCTCACACATACACTGTCAAAAATCACCACAAATTAAGGAATACCACAAACCATAAAATTCACACACATTACTTGAGTATATAAAAACCACATCTCTGTCTTCACACCCAACACAAACAAACAAAAAAACTTATTTTTCTCTTTCTCTTGCTCTTAAAGAAACCAAATCAAAGGTTTCTTAATTGTTCTGTGAGATTTTTTTCTTTTCTTTTCGAAACAATAAAGAAAAGCACAACAAATTTTATCTTCTGTTGCCATTCAACATGGCTGCCGATATCTCGTGGGACGAAATCAAGAACGAAAATGTTGATCTTGTAAGTAAATTTTCTAATCTAAATATCTTCTGTTTTACGATTGTAAGTGATTTATACATGCAAAGCATCACAGTAAGGGTACACGGGAGCGATGCTCTCTGTCTATAAACCGTGTCCCAAATAAGTAGAAGAGACCATTTTTAAAATTGATTCTTTGTTTTATTTTCTGTTATAAACTCAAATCCAAATGCAGAAAATTTCGATTTACAATAATCAACATTTGTAATTACAGGAGAAAATACCAGTGGAAGAAGTGTTTCAACAGTTGAAATGCTCACGAGATGGTCTATCATCTGAAGAAGGAAGAAACAGACTTCAGATCTTTGGACCAAATAAGCTAGAAGAGAAAGAAGAGAACAAAATTCTCAAGTTTCTTGGGTTTATGTGGAACCCTTTGTCATGGGTGATGGAAGCAGCCGCGCTAATGGCCATCGTGTTGGCCAATGGCGATGGTAGACCACCGGATTGGCAAGATTTTGTTGGTATTATGTGTCTTCTCATAATCAATTCAACCATTAGTTTTTGGGAAGAGAACAATGCTGGAAATGCAGCTGCTGCTCTTATGGCTAATCTTGCACCAAAGACTAAGGTCTTGAGGGATGGAAAATGGGGAGAGCAAGAAGCTGCAATATTAGTACCAGGAGACTTGATTAGTATAAAGTTGGGTGATATTGTTCCAGCCGATGCTCGTCTTTTAGAAGGTGATCCTCTTAAGATTGACCAATCTGCACTTACCGGGGAATCTCTTCCCGCGACTAAGCATCCAGGAGACGAGGTCTTCTCTGGCTCTACTTGTAAACAAGGTGAAATTGAAGCTGTTGTGATAGCAACTGGTGTGCATACCTTCTTTGGAAAGGCAGCTCATCTTGTTGATAGTACAAACAATGTTGGACATTTCCAAACGGTAAGCCCAAAACAAAAACAAAAAAGAATTCTTACTTGACTCACAAGCTAATATTACTTAACTCGGGAGCTATCACTATACGCCTAAAGTAACTGAACTATTTACAGGTTCTTACGGCGATTGGTAACTTCTGCATATGTTCTATCGGAGTAGGAATGTTGATTGAGATAATTGTAATGTACCCCATTCAACACAGAAAGTACAGAGATGGAATTGACAACCTTCTTGTGCTTCTCATCGGAGGAATCCCAATTGCAATGCCAACTGTGTTATCTGTAACAATGGCTATTGGTTCCCATAGATTATCTCAACAAGGAGCCATTACAAAGAGAATGACCGCTATCGAAGAAATGGCCGGTATGGATGTTCTTTGTAGTGACAAAACCGGGACTCTCACTTTGAACAAACTTACAGTTGACAAGAACCTAATTGAGGTATTGTTTCAGTTTGAACTTTGATCCAAAACGTTTCTTGTCCGAATTCTAAAATGGAATGTTCTTGTGAATGTAGGTGTTCCCAAAAGATGCAGACAAAGACACAGTCATGTTACTTTCAGCTAGAGCTTCAAGAACAGAAAATCAGGATGCTATTGATGCTTCCATTGTTAATATGTTGGCTGACCCAAAAGAGGTGCACTGATTTAGTTTTATAAATCTCTCTTACAATCATTGATTTGAACTATGATTATAACTTGTAAATGATTTTCTCAGGCTAGAGCAGGAATCACTGAGGTACATTTCTTGCCATTTAATCCTGTGGAAAAGCGTACTGCGATCACATACATAGATAGCAAAGGAGATTGGCATAGGTGCAGCAAGGGTGCTCCTGAACAAATAATTGATCTTTGTGAACTCAAAGGAGAGCCTAGGAAAAGAGCTCTTGACGTGATCGACAAGTTTGCGGACCGTGGCCTTCGTTCACTTGGAGTTGCTCGTCAGGTGCAACTTTTAAACCCAAATAATAGAAACCAAGTCTTTTTTCTCTTATTCATAGCTTTAATTCTTTTTGTCTTCTTTGGTAGACGGTTCCTGCTAAAGATAAAGAAAGTGCGGGAAGCCCGTGGGAGTTTGTAGGTCTTTTACCACTCTTTGATCCTCCAAGACATGATAGTGCAGAGACTATAAGACGAGCTCTTGAGCTTGGTGTAAATGTTAAGATGATCACTGGTGACCAATTGGCTATTGGTAAAGAGACTGGTCGTAGGCTTGGGATGGGAACCAACATGTATCCTTCTTCTTCTCTACTTGCGAACAAAGATGACACCACTGGTGGAGTTCCTGTGGATGAACTCATCGAAAAGGCAGATGGATTCGCAGGAGTCTTCCCTGGTAAATATCTCAATATATCTCCATATATATATGAAGCAATTTGATTATTATGTATTAGAGTAACTTATGAAGAAATAATACTTGGTCCGCAAGACACACATATTGCTTCCAATATTATGATCGACTTATATAACTGTGTTGTTGTCTTGTGTTTTGTTAGAGCACAAGTATGAAATCGTAAGAAAACTGCAAGAGAAGAAGCACATCGTAGGTATGACCGGAGACGGTGTCAATGATGCTCCGGCACTAAAAAAGGCAGACATTGGTATTGCTGTAGACGATGCAACTGACGCAGCAAGAAGTGCCTCAGACATTGTTTTGACCGAGCCAGGACTGAGTGTAATTGTGAGTGCAGTTTTGACTAGTCGAGCTATATTCCAACGTATGAAGAATTACACCATCTATGCAGTCTCTATCACCATACGTGTAGTCCTTGGCTTCATGCTCGTAGCTCTCATATGGAAATTTGACTTCTCTCCCTTCATGGTTCTCATCATTGCCATCCTAAATGATGGAACTATCATGACCATCTCCAAGGATAGAGTGAAGCCATCTCCAATCCCTGATTCATGGAAGTTGAAAGAGATCTTTAGTACCGGAGTTGTTCTAGGAACCTACATGGCTCTCATGACGGTCGTCTTCTTTTGGCTAGCTCATGATACTACTTTCTTCGAGGTAACATAAAACATATTCTATATTTATAACAAATCAAGAAACATTATTGAGAAAATAAACCATGCAGGACAAATTTGGAGTAAGGTCACTTCAAGGTAAAGATGATGAGTTAATGGCGGCTCTGTATCTACAAGTTAGTGTTATTAGTCAAGCTCTCATCTTCGTCACTCGATCAAGGAGCTGGTCCTACGTTGAGCGTCCAGGACTTCTACTTCTCTTTGCATTCCTGATTGCACAACTGGTACGTAATTCATTTGGCAATGAGCGTAATTGTCTATG